TGCATCGGCAGGCGGACTCTCAACCCCTGCGCCACCAGGGAAGCCCCTGTTTGTCCTTTTTCAGTGTATTTTCATTGAAGTGGTGCAAAGCTCATATTTAGCAGAAAATCAAACAGAACCGGAAAACAAACAATACAAGGTCATAACTTCCCCTCTGGCCCATCCTTCTGTTCTGCTTCCAATAGGCAGCTGACTTTTGCTCCTTGCATCGTGTTTTCTGGTAACTTAGTCAGATGACAAGGTCAGGTTTTCAAAGTTGATGGACAGGAGTGAAGGTGTGAGGGTGGGTCATTTTCACTTTAGAAAGATAAGTCTGGCTGCAGTTTTGGGGATGGATTATCGGGGGCCAGGGTAGGATGCTGTGAGGAAGCTGTTGAAACAGCAAGTGGGATGAGAATTGATGACGTTGAATCGGGCCAGTGGGCATGAGGGGAGGGATTGAAGTCCAGAGTAGGGAACAGAGGAACCTGATTCAGACTTGGAGGTGAGAAAGATAGGGTAGACCTGGATGCTTCCTGAAACCTGGCTATGCGAAAGTGCCGTTTTTTGAGCAGGAACCCAGAGCTCTCTTCTGCACCTGAGGTGGTCTGGGGCCATCTGGGAGGTGGATTAGTGGCTCAGGAGAGGGATCCAGGCTGGGCAGAGTGCCAGGAGCCTCGGCAGGGGTGAGCATTTGGGAGCAGATGGCACTGGGGTAAAGCCACGTGTGGAGACCTGTAAACGTGGTGTGTTTGGCTTTCAAATTCTCAAAACATTTAAGTTAACAGTTAATTTCAGTATGGAAAGATTTCATGCACAAATCTAGATTTCTAGCTTTTCTTGAAAAATCAGAATCTTTAGAAGTGCTGGCCCTGCATGCCTCCCCGGTAGCCATCAGTGGAGCTGAGGCGTGTCTGTGACCTCCGGCGGCCATGGCTCTCTTCTGCATTGACCTGGGTGCCCACCAATCACTTTTACATTCCTGCCTGGTTTGAGGGCATCTGAACTGTCTCTCCCTCCCCTGGGGAGACTGAGGCATGGGAGACCCAGGACTGAGCAGGGGAATACTCAGTAGAACTGGGAAGAGAGAACTAGAAAGCCAGGTGCGGGTCATATTCTGGAGACCCGAGAGGAGGAGGGGGTCCCCTTTAGCAAGATCAGAAGAGAAAGTCCATAAGTCTGCACGTTAGGAGATGACAGGATGTGGACTAAGCTTTCTTTCTTGACTGAGGGGAGGGGGGGAAATGGGGTGGCTCATGGGGGAGGGAGGTCTTTCTTTAAGGTGGGAGACGCTCAGCCATGGTAAATGTTAAGGAGAAAGTTCTGGTGGAAAGCAGGAAAGAGAGGGTTGAGGGCAGCATGTCCGGAAGCGGCCAGAAGACTTAGGGTCCAGGGGGCAGGTGGGGCCCGTCTCCATGCCCTTTGTGGCATGGGAGACCTTTGGTGAGTCTGTGAGAGGACCTCTGACGTCTGGGCTGGACACCTGCGGTCTCCACGGTCTCCAGGAGGGCTGGCTAGAGAGTTCCCTAAGGCTAGTGCTGGCCTTTGCCCTGGCATTGCTGGTCACCCCTCTCCTTACCACCCCTCCGCTGCCTGCCAAGCACCCCACCCTGGGGCAGTCCCCAAGTCCACTCAGTTATTCCCTGCAGAGCAACTTCGCTGTCTTATTTCCTTTAGACCTTTGCTCAGATATTACCTTGTCACTGGGGCCTCCTCTGACCATCCTCTTTATAAATCACACACTCAGACATATTCTTAATCAGGCTTCTTTGCCTCCATAGCACTTGTTTCTACCTGAGATGTGATTTACCTGTTGTCCATCTCTCTCCACTGGAATACATGCTCCTTTTTGGGGGCGGGGGGATTTGTTTGGTGCGTTGCAGAATCCCTGGCACCTAAACTATGCGGGGTGTCAGTGTCCATGTGTTGACTAAACAAGAGAATAACTTGACCTTATTGTACAGATGAAGGAGGTGTGGCTGGGAGGGCCAGGGACTCTGCCCTGGTTGTGTCTATGTGGTCTTCATTCTTTTTGGTTCATAGACAGCAGAAAGGATTTTCCCTCTGTCCACGAGCAGATCAAGGTGGAAGGGGCTTAGACCAACTTTCCAGGTATAAACATGTCATTGTAATTTTGATGGTGTGGACAGTGTCAGTTAGCTCTGACTTGCCACGTGCTCTGCTAAACTCTTTGAGTCCTCAGACAACAGCAGCAAACCCTAAGTAGTGGTACCCTTCCTGTCCCCATGTTAGCCATTAGTAATGGAGCGAAGGAGGCCTATGGAATTGCCTTGCCCAAGATCATGTGGCCGGGCAGCATTAGGACTGGGAGTCAGATGCGTGTCCATTCAAGTCCACAGTCCTGGTGCTAATCGCTGCTCTTCCCTGCCTCTTCTTCCATAGGGATTTGCATCAAGTGTGGGCTTGGCATCTATGGAGCGAGGCAGGCGTGCCAGGCAATGGGGAGCCTGTATCACACCGATTGCTTCACCTGCAACTCCTGTGGTAGGTAACCTCTCCCCTGTCCCTCTTGCACTGTGGATCCCCTTGCACCTAAGTCCCAGGCGGATGGACCACCCAGCTCTGGCCCAGGCCAGGAGTGTGGAGGAGGCTGAGTTGCGACCCCTTTTCTTCTGGCCTAGTCTGCTTGAGAGGCCCAGGCTCCTGGGGAGATCTGCTGGGCCCTGGGGAGGGAGGCATGAGACCAGGGAGGAGGCTTTTGCTGGCCACAGGGAAAGGCTGCCCTTCTAGCCCTTGGCTTTGGAACCTGTGTCCTGGGCAGGGTACTGATGTCTCTCGGTTGCCTGGGTGGGGCTTGTGGAGCCAGAGATGTGCTTTCTGCCTGCCTGGATATGAGGCTAATATTTTTTTCCCTGCAATATATTTTTTGTCCTAATTTTACACACTGTATAAGATATAAATGTTATAATTTAACCCAGACAAAGTTATAAAAAGAAAAAAGTAACTATAATCCAACCAACCTAATAAGTCTGCACTCTTGATCTTCTTACTGTTCTTTCATGCTTTGCCCTGAGAAGACATCTTTTATTTATATACACAAAACATTTTAATACGAAACATTTTATTTTATAAAAGTGTAATATGACTTTGTTATAAAGCAGAAACTAACACACCAGTGTAAAGTAATTATACTCCAATAAAGATGTTAAAAGAAAAAAAAGTGTAATATGTACACAGTGTTAAGTCAGATAGTCCTGAGAAGCTATTTTTGCAATAGTGAAAAACCGCTTATCTTTCTACCCCGGTCTTGTTGCCCAGGGGCAGCCACTTAGTATTTTTTAGCAACTTCCTCTAGTAGGCACCTCCATGTTCTAACAGCATACACTGCTGTTTCTTGATTATCAGTTTTGGAAATGATTTACTTATGTTTGCTGTGGTAGGTGAGGAATAGGTTCTTATGCTGACTGTTCTCCCCTCTCTCCTTCCGTCTTCTCAGTGTAGTCATCATAAGTTGTGATTAAGTCAATAAACCAGGTTTATATTACTATAATATGACTATGTAAATATTATTCACTGCAGAACCAAGAATTATACTGGGGTTATATCTCCTTTTTTCTATAGTCATTTACTTTTCCTGGAGTTTTCTTTTTTAACCTTTTTTTCTCCTTGCATTGTCTTGACTTATCATATCCTTCAGTTTTCTCTCCCCACTCCAGTTGCCCCATTTTAGTAGGCATTCTTTTGAGTTCCCACCTGGAGCCCCTGGCCTCTCCTTAGTCTGAGCCAGTTGCTCTCTGGACCCCTGTGGAGTGTTCATTCTGTGCCTTCCCATGTATATTGGTTGAATTGAATCCACTGTCTCCTAGAAGCTTTCAGCTGCAGATGACAGAAAAGCTGCTGAGGAGGCTTAAACTCTAAGAATATTTCTTGACTCATTGAACTGGGAGCCCAGAGATAGGGCTGGCTTCAGGCTGGGATTGATATAGTAGTGGCTTAGGCCCTGTGAATAGCTTGGCTGTGTTTTCCTTGGGTTTGGCTTTATCCTTAGGGCGACTTCTCTTATGGTAGTGAAATGTCTGAGGCAGCTTGAGACTTCCATTGGGACACCACTGGTCTGGAGGAAGAGGGGCCATTTCTTCTGGTCATGTTTTTGGGGTGGGGAAACTTCTTTTCCAGAAAACGTCTAGCAAACATCTTCCTGTATATCATTGGCCAGATCATTTCACACATCCATTCCTGAACCAAGCCCCCTGTGGCTGGGGGGAGTGCTGCGATTTGATTGACTTACTTGCCTGAGTCTCTGAACCATTATAAGGGAAGAATTAGCTTTATACTAATCAAGCCCATCCATGGATAGGGGAGTGGATTCAGGTTTCCCTTAAACACACCAGGCTGTTTGAGGTAAGGTTGGTTACTGAACACAACTTGGAGAAGTGGGGAGGAATGGAAGCTGTGAAACAACCTAAACTGTCCAGCGTTTTGCTGTAGTTGTCTAAGCAGGGCAGTGTGGGAGGTAAGTTTTCTGAATTCTGTTGTGTCTAAAATGCCTTTATTCAACCCTCACAATGTGTAGTTTGACTGGGAATAGATTTTCAAATTGGAAATAATTTTCGCGAAGCATTTTGAAGTCATAGATTTATCTTCCAGAAGCCATGGTTACTGCTCAATTCTGATGCCATTCCGATTCTCATTTTTGTGTGTGTGATCTGTTTTTTTCCTTTGGGGAGATCTCAGGAAGAGGGCTATCATTGAGCAAATCCTGTAATAGCCTCTGGAAAGGGCTGTGAACTGCACAGTTGCAGGGGTTGCCACTTAACATAGACGCAACAGGAATGGTGCTCCTGAAGTTGTGCATTGCAGCTACTTGGCTTAGGATACTTTATTTATGCTTGGTGTAGGCTTTGTGCCATTGGTTATGCTGCGTACACACAGAGAGCCCCATTAGACTGGAGACTTGCCCTTCGGTTCTGGGAATTTTTCTTGTATCCTTATTTATTCCCTTCTTCTTTCCACTGGTACTGAGTTCAGCAGTGTATGAATCAGGATAATATATATTATGACCAAGTTGAGTCACAATAGAAAATTTGTTAATGTAACTCACCTCATTAACAAACTAAAGAAAAAGAACTATATAATCATCTCAATAGGAGTAGAACAAGCAGTCAATAAAATTTATTTATTTATTTTTTTGCGGTACGCAGGCCTCTCACTGCTGTGGCCTCTCCCGTCGCGGAGCACAGGCTCCGGACGCGCAGGCTCAGCGGCCATGGCTCACGGGCCCAGCCGCTCCGCGGCATGTGGGATCCTCCCGGACAGGGGCACGAACCCGTGTCCCCTGCATCGGCAGGCGGACTCCCAACCACTGTGCCACCAGGGAAGCCCTTTTTATTTTTTAATTTATTTTTAATAAAATCTGACATTCAGATTTTAGCAAACTGAAAATAAAAAGGAACTTTCTCAACTTGATAAAAGTTGGTTACTAAAAATCTATGCAAACATCATACTCAGTGGTGAAATATAAGAAAAATGGACCTTTAAAAGAGGAAAGGACAGTGACACCTGCAATCACGTCTTCTATTCAGCATTGTACTGGAGGTCCTAGTCATTGCAGTAAGACAAGAAAAATAAATATAGCATAATCATGTAAATATTCATATACTGTTGAACATGGGTATATAAAATAGTGTTGAGATGTCAGTTTTTTCCAAATTGATCTATAATGCATTGTAATTCCAGTTAAGCAGGTTTTTGTGAATTTGACAGGCTAATTCTAAAATTTAAATGGAAGAGCAAAAGGCTAAGAATAATCTAGATGATCTTGAAGAAAAGTAGGTCGGGCAAACTTCCACTACCAGGTGTCAATATATATTGTATAGGTACATTAATTAATTTCATGTGGTACTGGGGCAAGGATAGACAAATAGACCAATGGACCAGAGTGGAGAGTTTAGAAGCAGACCCATGTCTGTGTTAAAACTTGATGGGTGATAGAGACAGCGTTGCAGATGGTTCTGGGAAAAGCGGTTATCCATATAAAATAATGAAATTAGATCCAGGTGTATCAAGGACCTAAATGGGTAAAGAAAAACTTGACAATTTTAGAAATAAGTATAGAAACATATCTTTACCAATCTTCTGGTTAAGAAAAAAATTTTTTTTCACACAAAAACTGCCAAACTTAAAAGAGGGGATTGACAAATTTGGCTACATTTGAATTAAAAACCTCTATTCGTTAAAAGACACTGTGAAGCATATGGGAAGACAAACCTTATACTGCCACAAACATAACTGCCAAGGATCATTTTTGTTTGTTTGTTTACAGCATTCCTTTATTTTATTTTATTTAATTTTTATTTTTATTGGGCTATAGGGGATGGGTTGGGAAATATCTCTGCAAGTTATGCCCTACTAGGGGAATGTCCATTCTAATTTTCCTGGGATAGCTTTCGGAGCTTTTTCTTTTTCTTTTTTTTTTTTTTTTGCGGTACGGGGGCCTCTCCCCGCTGTGGCCTCTCCCATTGCGGAGCACAGGCTCCGGACGTGCAGGCTCAGTGGCCATGGCTCACGGGCCCAGCTGCTCCACGGCATGTGGGACCTTCTCGGACTGGGGCACGAACCCATGTCCCCTGCATCGGCAGGTGGACTGTCAACCACTGCGCCACCAGGGAAGCCCGGAGCTTTTTCTTGGAGCTGCTGCTCTTGCTAGCAGCAGCCTCTTCAGGTCCACTGCTGAGTGGCTTCTCCTTGGAAGAGAATTTCCTCTTTTTCTTGGGGACCCTCTTGTTTCCTGACTTGCAGGGTCACTAACTGGTTCCTCTTTAGGGAAGGATTTCTTCGTCTTGGTAAGACTTCCACTGCCACCTGTCTCGTCAGGATCACTGTTAACCAGCTCCTCCTTGGAAAAAGATTTCTTTTTTTGGGGTTTGGAGGAGACGCATGGGTCTTCCGTTCCATTCTCCTGAGAAGCCTCCCAGGGCTTTTTTTTTTTTTTTTTTTTTTTTGCGGTACCCAGACCTCTCACTCCTGTGGCCCCTCCCGTTGCGGAGCACAGGCTCCGGACGCGCAGGCTCAACGGCCATGGCTCACAGGCCTAGCCAATCCGCGGCATGCGGGATCTTCCCGGACCGGGGCACGAACCCGTGTCCCCTGCATCGGCAGGCGGACTCTCAACCACTGCTCCACCAGGGAAGCCCACCCTAGGGGATGTTTGAAAACTTTATTTTATTTATTTATTTGGCCGCTCTGTGTGGCATGTGGGATCTTAGTTCCCCAGCCAGGGATTGAACCCGTGCTCCCTGCAGTGGAAGTGGGGAGTCTTAACCACTGGATCACCAGGGAAGTCCCTGAAAACTTTTTATTAAGGAAAAAACTTGAACAGGGGCAAATATGTTTTTTCTTTTATGAGTATTCTTATTACTTAGGGACTTGTATTCATGTAATATATTGCAGTACCATCATCATTCTTTTTGATGCTTAGATTCCCAGAGGAAGTCCCGTCCAGTTGACTCCTGTGCCCTTTTGACATGTCCCCATTGTTCTTTGAG